ATATATATATATATATATATATATATATATATATATATATATATATATATATATATATATATATATATATATATATATATATATATTGAAAATGGGGTTTTTATTTATTTATTTATATATATACAAATTGAAGTATTTTAGAAGGTTGACAGGCCACGATTTGTAGACACATCCAAAACCTAGCTAGTCGTCTATTATTTGGCAATACGTATACATATAAGTGTATGTATATGTGTGTGTGCGTAGTTCTTGTGATGGGATGGGACTTTGAACTGTCTCTATGTTTTACAGTCTACCTATGCATATATAACATGTACAGTACATAATAATAATATTGATGATGATGATTCCATCTTCTTTTTTTTTTTTTTTTTTTTTTTTTTTTTGTTAATGCAGGAACCCGCAGGCCGCAGCCAACCATATAGGTGCACTGGGTAAACCTACACTCTCGTATAATAGCTTGCAAACCATACGAGAGATGTAAACCACACTAGGCTAACCATGTGTAACAAGCTCGACCTAGCGACCGTTGGCAAGGGGATTCGAACTTGGGTCAATTGACCCAAGCTCTCTTGCTCCAACCGCTAGGCCACCCTTGCGGGTATTCCATCTTCTTCTTCCTTATATACATATGGGATGACTTTTGATGATTTCTGTTCCAATCACGTGGTTTTCTCTGTCCCTCTCTCTCTCTTCCCTCTCTCTCTCTCACACACAGAAACTCACACAGTGGGGGGAGAGGAGAGAAAAAGTCATATCTTCCATCCTCGCGATTTTAGGGTTTCGTTTGGTTGAAGATTGGATTAAGAGGTTGTGGCAATCTATATTTTGTTTTTTTATTGGTTCTAGGATTTTTGTCCATTGTCGAGTTGCAGGGGTGATATGAGGAGGGCCATTCTAATTGATTTTCGGCAATGATTCGTCTTCCTCTAATGCTTGTATCTTCTTAATTGAGGAGCAATTTTCTGAATTTTTTTATTTGACGATTTTTTATGTTGGGTATGTTACACAATAATATAGTTGTTTTCGTTACTATGCTATTTTGTTTATAGTTGTTTTCGAGAGTTTTTAGTTGTTTTCGATATATTTAGTTGATTTTTGGTTTTTTTGGTAGTTGATTTTAATTTTTTTTTATAGTTTTTTTTCAATAGTATGAAATAAAATCGAAAAAAATTGAATTAAATAAATGGAAAAAAAAATTGTACTTCATTTATTTTTAGTTGTTTTCGACGTTTTTAGTTGTTTTCGACGTTTTTAGTTGATTTCAATTTTTTATAGTTATTTTCAATAATATGCATAATTTGTCGATTTGGTAAATCAGCTGTGAAAAAAACCGAAAAAATGAATTAGAAAAATTGAAAAAAATAATAGTTGATTTTGCAAATAATGTAGTTGTTTACGGAAATATTATATTTGATTAGGGAAATAAACGAACACAAAAAGTAATATATTGAGTAACTTGTAGTTGATTAGGGAAATAGTTGATTTCGGAAATAGTTGATTTTAGAAACAGTTATTTAAAAAAAATATAATTATTTTCAGAAATTTTATAATCAATTTCAAATAAAAAACTGAAAAAAGTTCAAAATTAAAATCGAAAATAAAATTAAAATAAATATTTTTAAATAAATAAACAAATATTATAATTAAAAAAATTTAAATAGGCATTAAAGTAGTTGAGAGTGAATAATAAGGAATGAAGGGTAAATTTGACAATAAAAAAAAGTTGGATCTATCACTAATAAAAGAAATGGGTAATATGTTAGACGCCCCTTAAACCTAACTTAATTATATATGAGTGACAAGCTCAAATAGAATATTTTAACTATATCCCTACTTTAAATTTAAAATGATATACATCATTTGATTTTTATTTAA